CTTGGGGGTCAATTGCCATCCCAGGTTATGTCAAGGTTTTTGTATCATTTGTGGGGGGAAGTTTGGTATTGAGAAAATTTTGAGAAGAGAGGAGGGATACTACCTGGTTCAATTGAAGAATGAGCAAGGGATGAAATCTGCTCTTGAAACAGTACAACACTATTATGGGAAGCCCCTATTAGTGAAGGAATGGAATCCGAAAAACGGATTTAAATGTGAATATATCTTCAGTGTGCCTGCATGGATTCAGTTATCAGATTTAGAACTAAAATACTGGGGAGCTGGAACCCTAAGTAAGATACTTAGTCTGATTGGGAAACCGAAGCAAATGGATGATTTAACTTGTAGTAAGATGAGGGCAGGGTTTGCGCGAGTTTCGGTTGAGATGGAAATTAAAGAAGTGGTGTCAGATAAAGTGATGTTTGTGGATGAGACTGGAAGGTTGCAAGAGAAGAGGTTGGTCTATGAATGGAAACCAATCATATGTACCCAGTGTAAGGGATATGGCCATTCAAAACAGGAGTGTAAAGCTCCTGTCACCTGCCTGGAAACCAAAGGAAGTAGATGACAGAAGGGTGAAAAGGGTGTGAAAGGGAAGGAAAAGGTGATTAGTAGTGGACCAACAAAGGAGATAACTGAGCATGCTGTGGGGTCATCAATTGTCCAAAGTGTTAAGCCTTATCATTAACACTAGCAGGCAATTACCAAGACTCAAGGCGGTGGAAGCTTGGTTCAGACTGCTAACATGGCAACATGGGAGAAAGTCGGAACTGAGGAAAAGGGAGAAGAACATGGTGAAGTAGGTGGGTGCCACTTAACCCTAACCCAAATATAATATGATTATTATGATCTGGAATATTAGAGAATTTAATCATCCTCTAAAACATCAGGAGATGGGTAGAGTAGTTAGAAATCATAATATTAGTATTATAGGGGTTATGGAAACGAAACTAAGTGGGGAAAAGAAAAAAGAGATGATGACTAGATGGTGGAAAGGGTATGACTATCTGAGTAATGAAGAGTCTAATCAGAAGGGTAGAATTCTCATTATGTGGAAACCGGAAGACTCTCAGGTGGATGCACTAATCATTAAAGATGTTCATTTATTGTAAAGTGGTGGATAAGGTTGAGAGTATGTTATGACAGTTGTTTATACCAAAAATACACAAAGAGAACGAGCTGAACTGTGGCTGGATCTAATGAATATTCAACAGACTGGGAAGCCATGGTTGGTTGGGGGTGACTTCAACTGTATAGTAGATGAGGAGGAAAAATTGGGGGAGGGTATGCCATTTAAAAGACAGGAAATGGAAGAGTTTAAAATCATGATTGAGGCTTGTCAGTTGCAAGAGGTGAGATCACAAGGGAGAAATTCACATGGAACAACAAGCAATTGGGAGATAAAAGGATTAACTGTAAACTAGATAGAATGCTTGGTTCGAATGATTGGATGCTACTGTTCAATGATTCATATGTGGATATCCTTCCTGAAGGGCTGTTAGACCATTGCCCTTTGGTACTTAGATGGAGTCATGATTGTGTGAAGAGAAACAGACCGTTTAAATTCTATACAGGTGGACTACAGATCAGAACTTCCAGAACATAGTGGTGCAGCACTGGAAAATAGAAATCAAGGGGACCAACCAATTCCAATTGGTGAAGAAGCTCAAGTTGTTAAAGCATGCATTGAAGGAGCTAAATAGAAGGAATTATAGTGATATAGAGAAGGGATACCTTAATGCTCAGAAACATTTGGAGAGCATACAAGAGGGAATAAGGGTGGATCCTACGAATGTTCAATTACAGGAGCTGGGAAGAAAAGCTGAGAAAAAGTATGTAATGTATGGAAAGGCAGTTCTTAGTTTTCGGGAACAGAAAGCCAAGGAATTGTGGTGCCAGCAGGGTGATGCTAACATTGGGTACTTTCATGCCATGATCAGAGAGAGGAAAGCGATAAATAGGATTCTATCTCATCAAACAAAGGCAGGGGAGGTAATTGAGGATTGCAAAGGTGGAAAGCCATTTCATTTAGTTCTATCAAAAACTGCTGGGGGTGACGATGTAGAGACAGGGAAGTACAGTTCAGGTTTATGATCAGGGACCAAAAGATAAACTGGAGGACCACATTAGGCTGTGTCGGGACTTTACTGGTGGGGAGATCAAAAAGCCATATTTGATATACATTCCAGTAAAAGCCCTGGACCTGACGGGTTCGGGAGTGGTTTCTTCAAAGCATGCTGGGAGATTGTGGGCCCTGATGTCATTGATGATGTACGGGAATTTGCTGCTGAGAAAAGACTCCTCACTCGAGTAAATAGTACCTTAATTTCACTCATACCTAAGTGCCTTTCACCTAGAAATGCTAGTGAATTTAGGCCTATTTTGCTTTGCAATACTTTCTACAAGTGTATTACTAAAATACTGTGTGAGAGGTTAAGTAATGTACTACCTGGTATGATAAATATGAACCACGGAGCGTTTGTTAAGGGGAGATCATTTATGCATAACGTTTTAATTACGCAAGAACTTGTCAGGCTGTATAGACGTAAAGCAGTCTCACCTAGATGTCTTCGTAAGGTGGATCTATGTAAAGCATATGATAGCGTGAAGTGGTGTTTTTTGAATGAAGCATTGATAGGTTTTGGGTTTCCAGGGAGGTTTGTAGACTGGGTTATGCAATGTATAACAACATGCAATTACTCTGTAAACCTAAATGGTAGTATAGTGGGTTATTTTAAACGGCAGAGGGGAATACGGCAGGGGGATCCTATCTCCCCACTGCTGTTTGTAATCGTTATGGAATATCTCACTAGATTATTTAGTGAAACAATTAAAAAAGGAAACAGTTGCTTTTCATCGCTAATGTGAGAATATGCAGATAGTCAACTTGTGCTTTGCAGACGACTTGATTATAGTCTGTAAAGCATAGGAGGCTACTGTTAAGAATCCTATGCAGAAGCTTCTGGAGGAATTTGGTGAAACCACAGGAATGTATGCAAACTTGCAGAAGTCTCAAATCTATGTAACTGGAGTCTCGAAGGGAAAAAAGGAAAAATTGAAGCAGTTGCTGGATTTGAAAGAGGTACATTTCCTATGAAGTACCTGGATTTTCCAATTTCACCAACCATATGGTCCCAGGCTGACTGTCAAGGGTGATAGAGAATATTACACTTCGACTGAAAAGTTGGGCAACTAGGCACTTGTCATATGTGGGACGGCTTCAATTAATAAACTCGGTTCTCCTACATATGCAAACCTATTGGGCCTTAGTCTATTTAATTACTAAAAGTGTAATAGCACAAGTAGAAAGATTGTGTCGTGAGTTTTTGTTGGGGAGAAAGGAGAATGGTAAAGCATATCCCTTAGTGGCATGGAAGGATGTTTGTTGTACAGAAAAGGAAGGAGGGTTGGGGATCAGGAATATAGAAGTGTATAATCGAGCTACAGTGGGGAGACAAGTATGGGAAATAGCTCAACAAAAGGAGAAAACTTGTGGATTAAATGGGTACATGGTGTGTATTTGAAAGATAGAAATATTTGGACTGTTGATACTAAAGTAGAATCTAGTTAGCATTGGAAAAAAGTACTTATGATTCGAGACCAACTTAGAGCTGGATTTTGCATAAATAAATGGACAGGGACACAACATGGTAGATATACTATTCCCTCGGGGTACAAATGGTTGATAGAAAGCCGTCCTCACCATAGAGAACCACTGATGATCTGGAATAGAACTAGTGTTCCTAAACACTGTTTAATTGCTTGGTTATGCTGGAAAGGAAGGATCATGACAAGGGTTAGGCTGAAACATATTGACATGAATGTACCTGATGATGAATGTCCTTTGTGTGGTAAGTTTGCTGAGACTAGGGATCAGCTGTTTGTGAATTGTAGTTAGGAACAGGAATTGTGGCAGGAAATCAAAAAATGGTTCCAATTCCCGGTGGCCTGGCTGGAAGTGAAGAAGTGGAAAGGGGTGACATTTGTGCGGCAGGGCAAGAAGTGGCGATGCTTGGTTTTGTGCCGCCGGTCTAACGGTAGAACTCCGGCTAGGGTTTCCTGCAAAACAGGGCCTTGGGGTCTCCCGAGGGTAGACGCTCTGATGCTTAAGTCAATAAAGGGTTGCTGGAAGATTCAGGTATGTAGTATGTTAAGTTATGTATTGCGTACCTGTATTGTGGCATGAGCAACCCTATTTATAGGTATCAAAATACCTGGGAAATCCCTGAGTCCTATTAGGTTTCGGGAACCTAAACCGCCTCAAGAGTCCCGGTTGGACTCTCCTTTCAGTTGATGGGCCGGTCCAGTCTCGGTGATGGATATGGACTTGTCAAGTGTCCCTGTCAAGTGTTAGTTATATAAGATAAACAACGCTTGGCATAAAGTTACCTGGGACAAACCTGAGAGTGGATAGGCTACTCTCATTCAGCTAGTTGTCGAGCAATGCGTCAAGTGGCCTCGACTATAACGAACAACTCTCGATCTTGGAAGCCCGAGGGTAATCAGCGGGTTAGGTCTTGACCCGGGAAGGTGACCCATTTTCTTATACCGCCCAAAATTTCAATCGTGCGTTATTAGTGGGCACGTTCCCCAAACACGGCTTCATCATCATTACTCCCTTGAAATTCGCATTAACTGTCATATCATGGGCTGTAATTATGGAAACGTGGGAGAACAATTTTTATTTTAAGGAGAAGGCTCTATCATTCCCCTTTCCTTATCCCTTTTCCTTCTTCGCAAAAACTCAAATTCTCCTCCCTGTCAGAGTGTTTCAACTGCCTTCGCCGAAACATTCAAGCCTTCACCTACATACTGCCCCGGCGATGTTATTACCAGGGGATTTGCCATTAGGATTCAGGAAGAACACTGGGAAGCTACAACTTGAAAGGCGAGTGGTCACATCCTCCTCTAACAATAAGTTTTTAGATCTGACTACCCCCGGTTTCATTCAAAGTTTTTGTCTTTTCCAACTGAAGTCAGAGTAGATTTGTACCGGAATCATGGTTAGGGATTCGGAAGGAAAAACTGTTGATGACTTTGCATCCACCATAGATTCTGTCAATAAGATAGAGAACCTTAGATCAAAATATGACCTTCCTTCAAATCTAGAGGCGAGAGCCCCGTTAGGAAACGAGAGGGCCAACTCTCCTCCTGAGGGAAGAATTACTGTGTATGACCGATTTATGCATCTAGGGTTTAGATTCCCCCTCTTCCCTCTGTTCGAGGAGATTGTGCAACACTATAGGACTCCCCTTGCTCGTTTCACCCCAAATTTAATAACTTTTGTGCTGGGATTCGCAAGAATATGCCAACATGTAAAAGGAAACCTTCGGTTGATACTGTGGAGGTATTTCTTCCAAGTAGTTGTGGCCTCGACCTCTTTCCAAGACTGGTATATTGTGAAGAGGCGCCTTAGATCCGGTGTTGAAAAGATGGTCGAGGCGTATGGCGGCTCTCCTGAATGGAAGCCGGATTTCTTGTTTGTAATGGCATCCGAGAGCTATTGCCTGTCATGGAATTACTGAGAAACGGAGGGTATTGGAGCCATAAAGGATGAGTGGACCCAAGGAGACAAAAAGTACATCGAGGAGCTTAATGCAGATGTGGAGAAAATTTTGAAATATTCTAAGGTCGTTAAATAGAATGACGTACAATATTACGTACCTCCTGTGTACGCCGAGGATGATGATAATGCTAATGTCAAGACCTCAACCAGAATACTTCTCGAAACCTCTGTTGAGAAAACCAAGGTACTAATCATTTGCTTTTTCCGTCTCTGTTCGTAGGTCATGTCGTCAAGCAACGCTGGTTCTCGATTGTTTGGTGATGAAGATCCTTTTACTATTGTGAATTCAGATGAGGACGTTATCATCACTGTAGTGCCTCAAAGAACAAGAAGAAGAGGATCGTGAAGGTCGGTGATAGGACGAAATCTAAGAAGGCTAAAACGGATGCGCCCTTGAAAGAAGCCACAGCACCAGGTAACGAGACGGTGCCCCCTCCTACTGAGACTATTCAAAATCCTCTGCCAGAAGCAGGGACAAGTGTCATTCCCCATGCACCAGAAAAAGGCAAAGGCCCCCTCGAAGGAGAGACAATAACCTTGCCCCCTCAACTGTTCGAGGGAGGACCGTCCGCGACTATGCACACCTTCAGCAACCCACCGACCATCCAGTGTCCCGTCCTCGAAGAATTCACTGCTTAGCTGAATGAGGCTGACAGTCTGAGATTGGAAGGGAGTTTTCGCTGTTATGAATGTTTACCACAAACCGGTACCACCTTAGTGTGCTTCTAATGTGTTTTGTTGGTGTAGATAAGCGCGGCCTCGATGGCCTACCTGGTGCAGCTGAGGAAACTGTGAGAAGACCTGGTCGCAGCTCGATCTGAAAGGGATGAAGCTCTATTCGAGGTGGTGACCCTCGAGGAAAAGGCCCGTCAGGTCCAAGCAAAGGAAGCTGAGATTGCCTTGGTACAAGCCAAGTATGACGAGCTGGATGAAAACATGAAGCCTTTCGCCAGTTTGCACATCTCGAAGGAGGAACTACACCAGTGGTGTACGGCGTTCATGTACAAGATGCTGTCTATAGGAGGGATGGCCGCAGCCCTCGCGGAGATGAATTTGGTTGCCACCAAGTGCGGGGCGCACCGGGTAGGCGTGGCAGGTTTGAGGAGGCCCGATCAGGACAGGCCAATTAAAGTCAACTGGTTTAAGCAGCTCTTGAAAAAGGACCCAAAGAAGACCATGCACGAGGCGATGGTGAAGGTCCTCACGAGGTTGAACCTCGAGCAACTGCCCCTGTGGGAAGCTCTAACTGGTGCCTTGCTGAAAATGAGTTCTCCCGCAGACATTGCCTCGTTCCCATGCAACGTACCCGCAATCCTTGCCAGGGGCCCGAGTGAAGAAGATCCCATACCTGATGTACCGGACGAGTACATGGGTATCGAGCTCGAGGACGCTGATGAAGCCACCAAGGAGGATGTTGCTGATACTGGCCACTCTGGATTGCAGAGAAACGCCGAGAATGCTCCTCAGAACCCTCCTCTAGGCAGTGGTGCTGTATGAATCCTGCCTCTTGTAATAGCTTGTTAGGCCTGTTGAACTGCTGTGTTTTGTGTTTTTCTTTTCTTTTTTTTTTGGTAATGAACTGAGTACTCCATTTTTTCTTTTTCGTGCCCTTATACAAGCATCCTCTTCCTTTTCTTTTTATTTTTTCCTGGTTTGATGTAAACATCTTACACTCCTCTTGTGAAGCAGGATAGTTGGCCCGTCCACCGTGTTCACCACATGGTGCTATCGAAGGAGCAATCGAGCGAGTTTCCGCTATATTCCATGATTAGCGATATTCTAAGAAGTCGTGTCGATGTGCACAGTATCGAGACAGTGGCAAATCTAGAGAATGACCTTCTCGATGCAATGAGGATGCATAATGTGAAGGTTAATCAGCATCTGATAAACGAGATTAAAGGACTTCGTGAGGAGATGCAACGTCGAGAAGCTCAAAGTCTGAAAGACTACGGTGATTCTCTGACTTTCGAGGCTGAAATCCATGATGAACTGGTTACCTTGGAGAAGGAGAATGCTCGGTTGAGGGCAAGACAACAGATTACCGTGTCCCCCTGGTTCCTCGAGAATCATCAAGTGCTAGCCCGAGTTCAGCACATGATTATGACCAGAACTCGCCGCTTCACTGCAGCCATGGATATATTGAAAGAGAAAGCTCATGAAATCGAGCCCCTCGCAAATTATATTGCCAAATTACAAAATCTGTTACTAGACAACAACATTGACTTCGAAATTATTGAGCATCCGGAGGAAACGGTGGATCCTCGAACTCGGAGTTCTCGAGAAGAGCTGTTGATGAGGTTGCATGCTCAGGACCTAGAGATCGTGGATCTTAAGGACAAGTTGAATCAATGTGTGAATCTCCTGAGCCTGCATGGGTATAAGGGGATTATTCATCCTTCCCCTGACAATCCTGTCAGGGAAGTCCTTGTAATAGTGTAGGAAAATATGTACATTTTCTGCAAGCTCGCACAGTAGTGTGGAGAGAATTAGTGAATTATTTTTTACTTTACTCGAGTATCAATTTATATAGTGCTTTTTAGGCCGGATGTGAAATACACGGCTCTATCGAGGGAATTGGGTACGAATTCCTCGATTTGATACTGTGTTTTGCAGTGTGTGTGAGGAGAATTCCTCGGTTTCGTGTCCGGATCTTGAGCACACGGCTCTTTAACAAGGATGGCCCTAAAGAGGGAGTCCATCTCGATGACTAGTCATGAATATAATGTCGTCAATGAAAGGAATATGTAATATCTTTTATTGAATTATTACCCGAGGACCCAGGTTAGCATTACACATGAGAGGATAAAACTGACGGGGTAAATAAAGCAAATAAAACACACAATAGGCAAATAGCAGGCAAAGACTCAAACATAGAACCTGCGAACGTTCTGAATTTTCCACCACCAAGGGAGAATATCATCCATGGCCTGTAAGCGGTAGCTGCCTGCTGGGGAAGCCTGGATAACCTTGTAGGGCCCTTCCCAATTTGCTGTGAGTTTTCCAAGAGTTTCTGCTCGACTGGCCTCATTTTTCCTCAGTACGAGATCGCCCACAGCGAGATTCGTGGCTTTCACCTTCTTGTTGTAATGTCTTCGTAGAATCTCTTTATACTTTGCTTCTCGGATTCTGACAGTGTCTCGCCGTTCCTCGAGGAGGTCAAAGTTTAGCTTAATGTCATCATCATTGGTACTCTCGACAAAGTTTATTGTTCGAGGACTCGACAAGCCAATTTCAACCGGGAGGACGGCATCCATGCCATAGACTAAGCTATACGGTGTTTCGTCTGTCGAGGAGTGAGCAGTGGTATGGTATGACTATAGGACGTGAGGAAGCTCGTCGGCCCATACCCCCTTTGCGTTATACAACCTGGTCTTGATCCATGTAAGATGGTTCTGTTGATGGATTCGGCTTGACCGTTAGCTTGGGGATGACCCACGCTAGAGAAGTGACGCTCGATTTGCTCACCATGACTTGAAAGGATTGCTCTCGAATTGGGTCCCATTGACAGAGACGATGACCTTTGGGATTCCAAAATGGCATACAATATTCTGCAAGAAAAAATCCAAGACTTTCCTCCCTGTTATCGAGGCCAGGGGTTTAGCTTCTACCCACTTAGTGAAGTAATCTACCACTACGATTACCCATCTTACTCCTCCTACCCCTTCCAGATGAAAGGGGCCGATGATGTCAGTGCCCCATTGGTAGAATGGCCAAGGGCTTTGGATGGTGACCATCTCGTGTTGTGGCCGTCGAGTGATGGGAGAGAAGCGTTGACACTTTTCACATTTCTGTACCCACTGGTAGGCGTCCTTGAAAACTGTTGGCCAGAAATATCCTGCCCGTAAGACCTTCTTGGCGAGTTCCCTTGCTCCCATATGTGCTCTGCACGACCCCTCGTATATTTCTTCGAGCACATAAGCTGCCTGCTTTGGGCCAATGCATCTTAGCATGGGTAGCAGGTACCCATGCTTGTATAGGATGCCGTCTCGTAATGTGTATTTGACCGCCTTCAATTGGAGGGCTCTGGCCTCTACTTTTCCGCTTGGCAGCGTTCTATCTGTAAGGTATTGGATGAATGGGGTCATCCACGTGTTGTCGTCCTCGGCGACAGCCATTACGGGGGCTTCCTGGATGCTAGGACTGCGGAGAATCTCGACCCATACTTTGTGGCTGAGGTGTTCTAAGTTCGAGGAGGCCAACTTTCTGAGAGCGTCGGCCCTTTTATTTTTCGACCGGACTATGCAGGACACAGTGCATTCTTAGAATTTGTCCTTGATTTCGAGGACTTTCTCGAGATAGCACTTGAGTTGCGTTTGCTGTGTATTCTCCCAATATTTGTTTCACCACTACCTGAGAATCACTAAAAAATTGGATTTTGCGGACTACGAGCTTTAGTGCCATGTTCAGTCCTACGATTAGAGCCTCGTATTCTGCTACATTGTTGGTGACTGAGAACTCGAACCTTAGTGCGTATGTATATTCCGCATCATACTCCTTCATGCTTTCGATGTTAGGATCAGTTGGAGGTTTGGATAATATGATACTGGCTCCTCCCCCTTCATCACAGCAAGAGCCGTCGACGTATAGTGACCAGGCTCGAGGGTTGATGTTGACTCGAGTAGCGGGATCGTCTTTAGGCCCTGCAGTGTCCTTGACATCGATAGCTTGAGGCATTTCTACCAGAAAATCTGCAAAGGCTTGTCCTTTGATTGCTGATTGAGGTTTGTACTCAATATGGTGCTTGCCCAATTCGACTGCCCATTTCATCATCCTGCCGGAGGCCTCTGACTTGAGTAGGACTTCCTGAATTGGTTGTTCTATTAAAATCATGATGGGGTGTGCTTGAAAGTATGGGCGCAGACGTCGGGCGGCCAAGACTAGGCTGAGGATGAACCTTTCCATGGGTGTATAGCGGGTTTCCGCTCCTTGCAAGACTTTGCTAACAAAATAGACGGGGATTTCTCTGCCATCTTTGCGCTGCACGAGTACAGCCGAGATGGCTTTCTCTCGAGCTGCCAGGTAAATATATAGAGTTTTTCCTGGTTCAGGCTTAGCTAATGTGGGCAACTGCTTGAGGTGCTCTTTCAGATCTTGGAAGGCTTTCTGGCATTCTCCATTCCACTCGAATTTTCTGCCTTTGCGGAGGGTATGGAAGAATGGAAGGCTTCTCTCCGCGGCTCGAGAAAGAAATCTGTTTAGAGCCGCCAAGGAGCCTGTGAGTTTTTAAACTTCCTTGACGGTTTTTGGCGCTTCCATGGCCAAGATGGCCTCGGTTTTGGCTGGATCAACACTTATTCCACCCTTGGAAACTTGGTATCCTAAGAATTTTCTTGACCCCACAAAAAAAAGTGCATTTCTTAGGGTTCAGCTTCATGTTAATGTTGCGTAAGATTGTGAAAATCTCCCGCATATTTGCAGCTACTTGCTCGTCTTTGTTTGTCTTTATCACCATGTCGTCCACGTAGAGCTCGATTTTCCGGCCGATTTGGTCATGAAAGGTTCTGTTCACGAGAAGCTGGTACGTGGCCTCGGCATTTTTCAGTCCAAAGGGCATCTTGTCATAGCAATAGACCCCCATCTCGGTGATATAAGCCGTCTTCTCTTCATCTTCCCGTGCCATAAGGATTTAATAATATCCCTTGTACACGTCGAGAAAACTAAGAATTCTATATCCGGCGATACCTTCTACCATCTGATCTATGACTGGTAGGGGGTAACAGTCTTTGGGGCAATGTTTGTTGAGGTCAGTGTAATCTTGGCACATGCGCCAAGAATTATCGGGTTTTCGCACCAAAACCGGGTTGGCTAACCAAGTGAGCCATAGAACTTCTCGGAGTATATTGGCGCAGACTAGCTTCATTGTTTCTTCATTGATGACGTCATTACGTTCACGAGCAAATACTCTTTTTTTCTGCTGCACCAGTTTGACACTTGGGTTGACATTTAGCTTATGTTCCATAACTTCTCGAGGAACTCCTATCATGTCCGCTGGAGACCAGGTGAATACATCGCGGAACTCGCGTAGTAAGGTACTAACCTCGGCTAGCAATGGATCTCAGAGAGAAATACCGATTTGAACGGTCTTGGCAGGGTCAGTCTCGCTCAGGATCAACTCTCGTGTCTTACTGCTGAGCGGTGGGAGATCGGAGGTCTCGAGATCTTCCACCTCTGGTGGTTTGGATGTTTGTCTAATTGAGTAACACTCCGACACGGCGGCGCTCGGATTAAGGCATGCGGTCTTCTTCCCAATTCTAACTGCTGTGAGTAAGCACTCTCGAGAGCTACGCTGGCATCCTTGTACCACTCCAACTCCATATTCTGTCGGGAATTTCATTACCAACTGATAGGGAGACCAGACTGCACGTGCTTGGCACATCCAGGGTCGCCCTAGGATCACGTTGAACGGCGAGGGTGCATCTATTAGAGCGAAATCCATGGTTAAGGTGACCGTTCTAGGATGCAACCCTACCGAGATGGGGAGGCTAATTATTCCTATGGGGATAATGGTGTGGCCTGAGAATCCCATCAAGGGCATTGTGGCTGGGCGGATGCAAGGGTTCTTGATATTCATTTTCTTGAAGCAATCACTATATATGATGTCTACCGCGCTGCCATTATCCACTTAAACCTTTTCCGACTTTTACATTTGCAATTATTCCCTCAATAACCATGGCGTGACTGTGGGGACAGATGTCTGGGACGACATCACTATCTGTGAATACGATTGCCTCCGTTCCCTTGAACTTCTTGTGGCTAAGCTCTTGTCGAGGAGTTTTGGTGACGGTCCGCAATGAGTTCCTCATGGCCGTGGTAGATAAGACTTCAAGGGGAGCTCCATAAATAGCCCCTACCTGGTGAGTGATCAGCTTTGTTGGATCCGCTGGGGGGAGTTGCGGGAGTGGCTATGGTGCAGCTTCAGTAATGTGATGAGGTTGCTGTTGGGTGTTGGCTCTCGGTTGCCAACTGTTTCCCCAGCCGTCTCTCCGTGGCGGGCCGTTGAAGTTTCTTTTAGGGTAATCTCGTGATTGGGGTCTATTATTCTTCTGCCGAGAGGCTCCTTATACGTACTGCTGAAACTAGCCAGACTTGACCCCGTTCTCAATTTCCCTCTTAAGCTCTCGGCAATCCTCCGTGTCATGGCCGTGATCTTTGTGATATCCACAATATTGTTCTGTTGATCTGTTTGGGTTAGGTGCCAAAGGTTTCGGGACTGGTAACTCGTCCTTATGGATCTGGAGGATTTCTCGTCGCAGCTTGGTTAAGGGTGTTAATTGCCTATCCATCTTGGTTAGTGCCAGTTTATTTTCCATGGGGATTTTTGGCTTGTCCCTTAGTCCTACCGACACGAAAAATTCCTGGGACCTCTTGAGTGTGTGTTCTCGTTGTATATGGTTCTCGACAATGACCCACATCTCCTGAGCATTCTTGGGGGGCTTGGTCGAGAGCTTAACTCGCAACATTGAGGATTTTCCAAAGGGGTTAAGGCCTTGGATGAATCCATTGCGAACATCCCGATCATCGATGTTGTCGACCTGCAAGGTTTCTTGTATGAACCGTTTGTGGAAGTCAGTCAGACTCTCATACTGCCCTTGTCTGATCGAGGAGAGGACAATGGACATCTGCGATATTCGTTTACTCTGGAAGAATCGGGTAGCTAGTTTGACAGACAAATCCTCAAAGCTAGTTATTCTCCCCTCTGGTAATTGCCCAAACCATCGTTGTGCTTACCCAGCCAAGTAAGAAGGTAGCGCCTTGGCCATGAAATTCATGGTTGCGTTTGAAATTCTCATGACCTGGACATATCCTTGCAGCCATTGGGAGACATCAGTATCTCCTGAATATGGTTTAAATTCCTTAGGGAAGTCAAAGTCTCGGGCTTAGGTTCATCTCAAATGTCCGGGATGAAGGGACTTCGGTCTAGTCCTATCCCGATGATCTTTCTCATTTCTTCTCGGATCAAGATGTTCTGGTCTCTTGCTCCTTGTTGATCTCCTTGGAAGTATGGCGGATTTTCTCTATGCCTGTTATATTGCTGATGTCTGGGAGGTGAGTATCGAGGACGGTGATGGTATCCTTGGTTATAGTTGCCCTCGATGTTGTTGTGGCCTTGGTGTGGTTTGTAGCCAGGTCTATATTCATCTCTTCGAGGACTTCTTTGATTCCAATTGGACTCCAGGCGGTTATGTCCATTAGTTCGTCTTGGGGGTTCCCCTGTTCTCCTTCGATGATCTCGACACTCGGGGGGATCGTGATGCTCCCGAGTGTTTTTACGTCTGTATACTACGTCAAATTCCTCGAGGGCCATATCCAAGGCTGGGTATCTTTCGTTGAAAGCATTCCAGAATATGGTATCTCGGGTGGCATTCGAGCGTTCCTCGTGGGGGTTTTCGTACCCCTCAGCTTCTTGATAATTCTGTCCTCTTGGACTTTCCACTTCCCCCGCTTCTTCTTGAGAAGGGATAGGGTTCTGCGAGCTTCTTTTTCGTCTCAAATCCTCCAATTCATGTTCTGTGGGATCGGGTTGTCCAAGGAGACAGCGCCGCCTGGTTTCTTCGAGGACATATCTCCGCATCCTCTGTTGCTGATCGCTATCGTCTCCTTGCTTCTTGAGTTCAGCCTCGATCTTGGCTAGCTTCTGATCCTCCAAACGCTTTTTGGCAGCAGGGGTATTTCGAGGAGAAGGTATATCCTCTTTCTCGAGTGGAAGATTGGTTTTGCCTTGTTTCTTCGGATCAGGTTGGGAAGTGCCAAGGACCAAGCGTTCTTTTGCTGGTTCTTTTTCAGGTTCTCCGCCATAGGTTTTTCCTGTCTTCTTTTTTTTCTTGCCTGCATTGGAATTCGGCAAGGGGGTATTGTCCCCTAGACTATGCCGTTGGCCCAAAAATGTTGTGCTACCGGTGTCTTCTTCAACTCTAACCATTATGTTGGTTGTTCCTGCAACCCTAGTTTTTACCGGGAGATGTTAAGGAAACCTGAGAAGGTTTTTGTGACACAAACCCTAGTTTTCGGGTCCCACTAGGCGTGCCACTTGGCTATGCTTGGTTTTGCGCCGCCGGTCTAACGGTGGAACTCCGGCTAGGGTTTCCTGCAAAACAGGGTCTCGGGGTCTCCCGAGTGTAGGTGCTCCGATACTTAAGTCAATAAAGGGTTGCTGGAAGATTTAGGTATGTAATATGTTAAGCTATGTATTGCGTACCTGTATTGTGGCATGAGCAACCCTATTTATAGGTATCAGAATGCCTGGAAAATCCCTGAGTCCTATTAGATTTCGGGAACCTAAACCACCTCAAGAGTCCCGATTGGACTCTCCTTTCGGTTGATGGGCCGGTCCAGTCTCGGTGATGGATATGGACTCGTCAAGAAGCTTCGTAGAGAGATCTTGTTTGCCATCATTGTGGCTGGTTATTACCACATATGGCAAAACAGAAACAACCAGGTTCATGAAGGCAAGCATACAGCAGTCAAAGTGGGGGTGAAGCAGATTAAAAAGAAATTGCAGTGGAGACTCCCATATGCACAAAAATATTATCTGAACGGACAAATTTTCCAGAGCCAAAATGAATGAAATCAGGTAGCTGATTCTTCTGTCAGTGTCCTAGTGGAGTTAAATTTGAAATTTGGGTTGTTCTTGGAACAGTGATCACCATCGAATCAAACAACTGGAGAACCACAAAGCCTTTTCTTAAGTGAAAAAAAGTGGCTCAATTCAAAACCAAAGGTCCAATGTTTAACATCAAGAGAAGCTCCCAATATTTTGACAATGGTTTCAGTACTGTGTCAAGAGGATCAGTTTAATTGTCCAGTTTATTAAGATAAGGACTCTGTCTGGATTAGATATTGGTGCGGTAATGTCAATATCCTTCCCATTTTAGATGTGAGTGAAAAATCAATCGGTTCCAAATGATGAATCAAGAGAACTATGTAGAGATAGCCACTGCAACTACAAGTTCCTAACTCGAGGGACCAATAAGATTTCCTTTCAGTAATGCAAAATAAAGAAGCTTAGTAGTTATCTTCAAAGCTAATGTACCAAAAGTTTTGACTGCATTCTTTCACAGTCAGACTGACTAATAAGAGAATGAGTTACGCCTCTGTTGGACATTTTAAGTAAAAGCTGTTAACTTCTAAGCAGAAGGTGTGAAGAAGAAAGGTAAGACTGTTATGTTAAACTGCCTAGTGGTTGATCATCCAGTCGAGATTAGTAATGAGGAGTCTTCAAACTTCAATCACTAGGTCGCCTTCCCGCCCATAGATAAAGCTCTCTAGTTCATTTAACATAGCTGTCAGGAAGCGTAAGAAACATTCATCAGCTAACTTGATCCAAAAGAAGGAACAATGACAGAGTAGAATACAAGAAGGATATATATATATAGAAAGAGAGAGATAGAGAGAGAGAGCTTGAAGATGAACTCAAGAGTACTCTTTTGACTTGGCTATGCAAAAGTAAGTTAGAAGCCATTCATTGATTGATGCAGGCGTGTACAATAAGCTTTTCGTAATCCTAAACTGATATAAAAAGGGAATACTGGATCTGAAATAAGGTGCTGACAAATAATATAAAACTTTCCTAAGATCATATGGTTTTAGATGTCCATGGTTGTTTCAAATGGAAACAATTAGAATTGAGAACTACAATAATGAAAATGTAAATATGGATGCCGGAAGGTTACTCACCATTAAAGACAGCCCCAGGCAAGTCTTTCCGCAAGAAAACCAAAGAAATTTATAAGCAAGTTACATAAGAGCGGAAAACGTCCAAGACACAAAGATATCTTTTCAGCGTAAGGATGACCTAATTTTGCAAGCTGGAACTCCTTTAAGTTCAGAAATTGTATCAATTCTGTTTACAAATTTTTGTCCTGTTCACAAATTGAGAGGGATATCATTAGCATTATATTATGCGTTCCCCTCTTATACATCTTAGACAGTTTGCACTAAATTTTTGTCATTCTGTTTACTAGAAAATATTGAGATATAAACTGAGCAAGAGAATGCAGAAAAACAAGAAAGAATACAAATAACAAAGTTTCAGATATACCACTAGATCAGAGAAGAGATCAGCCTCCAGAGGGACCTTAATGGGGTTGGTAGCACCTGTACACTGAGTCATTCAGAACATGTTTCTAAAAGGAAATCGAATGGCACAGTTATGCATCTTAGAGAGTTGAAATACCTTGACCATTCCTATTACAGATAGTGTCAACGAAATCAGTTAAGCTGGGAAGTAAGTTTCTGCCGGTGTTTCTCTCAGAGACAGAAAAACCTGCAGGTATTATTTTGCGGATGCTTCCCTCAGGACCTGATGTTTCACCAATAAAAGCACATTTTGTAGCATGCACACCCGATGGTTGTACTAGAAGAGTATCAGCACCAGCAGCATGGACAGGATTTGATTCAGTAACAGCACTGTAATCAAAGGTAATGCGTACTGAGTTTCAAAAGCTTATAAGTTTGTTTCTTCATCTTTCAAGATTATTCACTCAGTGAGTTGCTTCTTCTCCGTCCTATTATTTTCTTTCGAGTTACAGAAGTGATGGATGTTGCAGAGGTACTTTGTGGTGAAACTATAATTACCTATAATGGACTTCATCGCAAGGTACTTCAGAGAGACAATTGCTACTTGGGAGGCCAACAATTTCCACATATTTCATGCTGTCCTGAGAAAAAACACCACGGCCATGCTATGTTATACAAACAGGGCAATTCATGTAATCATATTATTGTGGATTAAAGATCAACAAAAAGGGAAGCCATAACAACATTAATGATTTCAATGCTCTTCTTACCTTCAATGAATCTATAAATAATTCAGCTTGCGAAGAGTCGAGAAAGCGCATAGCGAACTTCTGTGTCTGCAATTTACACAGGTTAATGATCTAGAGTTCAGTCAAGAATTAGATAGCAATATCCAATTCAGAGTCACCACACAGTAGAGGTTCAAATCCATTAAGATTCTACAAAATGTATGAACCATAATCTTGCGAAAAATTCAACATCCCTCTGAATAGAAGTATGTAGTTGTACTCAGGTTGGGAGAAGAGTTGCTTGTTATTGAAACCTGAAGTAGTAAATTATATCAACTATGCAGCTGTTTCACAAAGACTGATGCATGATGCTACGTGTCTTGTAGTATTTCTCAAAGCCTTCTTCTTTTTATTAGATAAAACAGTGAATACTTGCTCTTGGAGGTCAATATGAAGATGTAATTGAGATTTCAGTAATAGTTCATTAGTTTCTCCGGTCAGTTTTAGAAGAAATATCAAATGGCAAGTTGAACATAGTGACTAAGCCTGATTGTGAAACTTCATTTTCACTTTGCTTTTCCCCTTAAATCATCCACACCTGCACCATATAGCCACCAACAAAAACAATGCATCTGTGGGATGCAATAATAGAATGCTGATGCGTTATGGAGGGTAACTACTGGACAAAAGAGAAGATATCATAAAGAAATGATGCTTCATAATGGAATATACACTAGCAGGGTAGTTGTGACCATAGATGATTCCTTCCTGTGATCTCCAAGTACGGGCAACCGCAGAAGGAAAAACAAGTTCAAGAAAATGAATGTATCATTCTTCAAAATGAGAGCTCTGGCGGTATCATCGACATCAATAGCATAGAGAACTAATAATTGGCATCTTTTGTTCTAATCGGAAAGAGAGTTCTTGCCTGTCCAAAGGAATCCTTGTAGCTTGCAAGTACCACTCTGCTGCCTTTAACCGTGTCGGATGAAATCTGTGGCCAAGATAAGTGCAGTTTGGAAATGAAGTGTTCTTCCTGCAAAGCCATAGGGCAACAAATCATAGGTCATTTCGTTCACTGCTAGGATAAAATACATCAGGTTCGTATTAACCCATAAATCCTATTCACAGGACAAAGCTCTGTTATCTCATGAAAAATTGTACATGGAACCGTAAATCATTCAAAATGCTAATAATATTTGACTAGATTGCTCTTTATAACAAGCCGACAAAAATAATCAGAAACCGGAACAGATTAATTAATCTTTCAAGCATTTACTCAAGCACTTCTTGCTATCTCAGCGAGCGTTCAGGCATCTTATCAAGTCTTCCAATGTTAAATCTTTCACAGTCATTATTTAAGGAAAGTGAACACTGATAAAAAGGGTACAAAAACTGGTACCATTTTAAACCAAAATCACCCACAAAAGAACTTAGATGAAAAGAAAATTGTGCAACAAAAGCGAAAACTGTAAAAAGGGGCTGTCGGGCTTACATGGACTTTCCCATTGAGGGAGATAAGTAGGACAAGGAGAGAATCAGGAGTGTAGCTGAACAGAAAAAGGGAAGCCCTCGAAGATGATGAAGAAGAAATCCAAACCCCACTGGAAATTCCTTTGCGTTTCCCCCAAGTGGACACAGGCATAAGGCGGTGGTCACACAAACCAGTACCAAAATGAGACTGATGGTACTTGGAACTGGTAAAATGGTTGAAAAACATTGCATATTCTATCTGAAATGAATGCTTCAGATCAATCCCTTTTGCCTGGTTTCCTAGTTGTTGGGTTTGGGACTCTGTTTCTTCTTCGGGATACATGACACTAAAGAAGGTGATTCTCTCACTGCAATTTCTCAAAGTTTGTGTTAAATTAGCATTCTGATTCTTCTGAGCTTTTTCGATTCGGGTTTTGGTGAGTTTTGTTATATTTTCTTCTTGTAAATGCCTTCCTGTTTTCTGGGTTTTTTAAGGTGGTTTTATGGCTTTATGCCATTACTGGCAGACTGGCAGTGTGGGTGAATCGGAAAACGACATTGCTGGCATCATCTTGTCTGAAACATGAAGGACGCGCCTCTCCAAATTGTGGAATTAATTACAGTTGTAGTCGCCAATTTTCACATCAACAGCATAAATAGTTTCTTTGTTTTAAAACATTGGCAAATCGTGGCGTAGATTTTTTTCATAAAATTTTTGTTTTAATCGATAGAAAGTTGATCCGACTAAATGATGTCTAATACTAATAAATCGTTTAACCACTTCTTTTTTACTATTCTGAACTTTTGATCTTGCAAAAATTATCGAATACAATCTTCTATTCTTTCGAAATAAAATTTTATTTTTTACGTTGTTCTTAATTTGAAAACATAAAAAATCTTATGATGCAATGAGAATAAATATGGCATAATTACTTCTCAAATAAATAATGTGCTGATAATGTGCTTAAAACACACAAGAGTGAAGAATTTCAAGTAAAACTCAAAAATATAACTTCAATTCACTTAAATTGGGTATTCCGATATGTCACCTTAGTAATGTTCAATTCATAAATGCTATTCCCATTTTTCCAATCAATCAATGAATACACATCAAAACTAAAAGTTGAAACTTGAAACTAAAAACAATATTACATGTAATATGTCATCAACAGGTGACAGTACAAGAATAAGCGAAAAAAGCAAACGGAAAACCAAAAGGGAAAATTTTTAAAAAAGGCATGAGAAAGATGAAATTATTCTAAAGGGCATTAACATTTTTTTTGTTAATTCTTGTAAATTTCTTAAATATAACTAATGTATTATGACAATCTAAAAAATTATTTTATCCTTTTTATTGACACTGTACATGAGTTTCATCACTTCTCCTTCCCCAATCAATAACCCGACACCGATTAGATCTCAATTAAGAGTTTCAACCAGATTCTTGACTTCAACTATTTGATCCAAATTGACTTTTGTTGTTTTCTCCTTTTCGATTTTAGCTTTCTTGGTTCCAGCTCTTGAATTTTAATAGCAAAAATGTAAACCCAATGAGAGCCCTAATTTTATAAAGAAGAGATTGATAACTTCTGGGAATTGAATGAATTTTCGTCGAAATTGAAGTCGTCAATCACAGTAACATTTTATGTCCCGTGTCTTATGAAATATTTAATGGCCACCATAGTTCCACTGTGGAACTATGGTGGCATTCTAGGATTTTCAGCTCTGTTATACTTCATTCTGGCTATTAAAATGAGTAATATGCAACTATGTTTCTTGGATCTCTGTTTTTGGTCTGTTTTTGACCAATTTTGAATTAGTTTTCAAGTACTTTGATAGTTTTTGCTCTGCCCCATCAATCTTGGCCTCCAGTGATCAACCACTTTATTGGAAAGTTACCCATCCCACTTCATCTCCTACACATCTTCAAGGTCTGGGAACAAAAGCAATTTTATGCTTAATCAATTCTTAATCAATACTGTTTTTCGTTCATTGCCCCGTCCACCCCCTCTAGTATCTGTATTGAATATCATGATTGATGTGGAATTTTAGGAAATTAGATTAATTAACAATGTCGATTTGTGGAGAGATGGAATATTGCAAACAGAAGAACTAAACTAATGAAAAGGGTAAACAAATCATTTTCAAGTTGAAAAGATATAAAAGTTATTTTAATATTCACACTAAAAGTAGAAAAATCTTAATGCCCTTAAGAATAATTTTGACCTTTCCCGTGCCCTTTTGTAAGAATTTTCCCTTATATTGTTGTTGTTAAAAGTTTCTATCTCAAAATCAATTAGCAATGAAAGCAACCGTAATAGGGAGTAACTTACTTCGAATCACGTGCCAGTTACTACTAATATTACTTCACCCCATTGCAGCGCGCGCGTAACAAATCTGGGAGGCTACTAAACGCCCTAAAAATTTTCCTTGAGCGCCCTAATTAAATACCAAATGACCATTTTTCCCTTACATGATTTTATAAATTAAGAGTTTCAATTTCATTCTTTCAATTCCTAAATCAATCTTTCATTTCAAATTCTCTCAATCCAAACTCCTAAAAACTTAGATTCAATGGCTGATCGAATGAAACGGCTACGTAAAGAGCTACGGAAACTGAAAGTACGTAAATTTGGATTGTTTTTTTGAATTTGAATTATGTAGGAGTATTTATAAAATAAAAAAAAAAAACACCACCGCCCCAGCCGCCGAGGGAGAACCGCGCCGGGGCGTGAAGGAGTGGCGCAGCCTTACAGAGCTGGCGCGGATTTGCGCGCCAGCTCTGCACGCCCCGGCGCGGTTATCCCTCGCCGGTCGGGGCAGTGGTGGCGCAATTTTCTTCGCCGCCGGACGCTGGGGTGGCGAAGAAAAGTCTCGCCAGGCGGCTTGCGCCTGGCGAGATTAACCGGCGCCGGCCGGTTTTTTATTTTTTTTTTTGTTAATTTGTTATATTATATATTTAAATTTAATTACTATTTATAAATTGTATAGTAATTGTAATTTAATTGTTACTATTAGTAATTGTAGGTCTTATGAAATTTAGTTCAATTATTTACTATTAGTTAAATTTATTAGTTATTTTTATTAGTTTAATTTATTTAGGAAACACTATTATTAAAAGTATATGCTTAATCTTCTGTAAATAAATTAGTTATAATACTTTTGTAGTTTTAGGGAGTTTAACGGTTTTTAAATTAACTTGGATCATTATGAAAGTTATTATAAATATAATTATAGAAAATATATTTATTGGATTAGTCGGTTTAATTGTAATTAGCCTCAAAAAAATGTCAAACATAGAAATTAAATACTTAATATAGGAAAATTGAATAAATAAGTTCAAATTTAAAAAATACAGGAGGTTAGTAGATAATTAGGGTTAATAAAAAATATTTATTTAATTATGGTTAAAATTAAATAAGAAATTATATATTTATTTAATTTTGGTTAAAAAATAAAAAAATAAATATGTAGATATTATTAATTGTACTTAGTAGATTTAATAAATTGTACACTTAAGATGTATAGTAGATAATTTTATAATTACGTATTTAAATAATATAAAACTATATTAAACTAATTAATCTAAGTTAGGTGTAAAATTTTAAACTTTTGTAGAATGGGATATCGCCTCTTGAGGGATCTGGACATCGGGATGCAGTTACGCGCAATCTGTATGCCGAACATCGAGCAGAAAAAGAAAAAAAGTTAAAGAAAGTGAAAAATGTACATCCTACGTTTGGCCCACTTGGTGAGTCAGCCAACGTAGACGATGATGATGATGATGATGATGATTTTGAGGGAGAGGAATCAGCAGAGGATAGTTTTGATAGTGGGGGGGACGATGTGGATGAGGAGGATGACACATCCGAGTATTCCTCGCATGAGAGGAGGGATATAGATATTGCAGATAACTCAGTACTGAAACCCATTGGTCATACTGTTGATCAGACTCCAGTTCACCCTACCCCGGGGAGAGTCCCTTGTGGGATTATCAGCCCTGAATTCAGCTTACACTCCTGGTGGTTCCAGTGTTCGTGTCGGCCCACAGAGTATTCTTTTTAGAGGTCAGAGTACTACTCTTCAGCATGCAGGCCCGCAGAGTACTCTTTTTAGAGGTCCCTCTCTGACTACTCAGCCTCGTTCCCGTTTTGGTGGCGCATCCATTGGTGCCTCTATCCGTCCTGAGGCAGCTGCATCGTCATCAGGTACGTATTTGTAACAATTTCAGCATTCATTACTGCTTGGTCAATTTCTTAATTGCATTCGATTAAGTATTTATACACTATTCTTTATTCGGGTTGCAGGTACTAGCAGACGGTCTAAGGTATCTACCGAAGAAACTGATGATTGGGTTGTGACAGACGATGTACATGGCGGGCCATGTGATGGGTCAGTGATTCCTAGTTTTCTTGGCCACACTGCTTATCAGTTGTGAAATGGAGAACCAAGAGATTACCTGACGATGAAGACAGCGAAGAAGAGTTTGTCTAGATTGCATGGATGGTATGCGAGGTTGCCGGAGAATGCACAGTTGTAGATTTAGAATACCGGTTTGTATCATCTGATTGATACCATGTATGATGATATTGACCTTGCGCTTATTTCTGCATTCATAGAGAGGTGGCAGCCCGACACAAACTCTTTCCAGTTTCCGTTTGGGGAGATGACCATTATGATACATGATGTGGCACACATTTTGGCGATTCCACTTGATGGTTACTTGTTGACCCAACCTGCGGAACCTGAGGTTTTGAAGATGCAGGTTGCGGGATTGCTTGGGATGCCGTTGGCTGAGTTAAAGCATGCATGGAGCCACGGACGTGTGAGCGACATATTGATTGAGGAGTGTTGTCGCAAGGTCTTCCCCGCTGTTCAGGTGCAAGCTTGGGTGTGGATCTTGTTAGCCTCGACACTCTTCCTTGACAGGAGTGGGGGCAGGATCAGTGCTTCGCTTATGAATGAGCTGCACGGAGGTATCGACAATATTGCAGAGTACTCCTGGGGATCCGGTACACTAGCATTCCTCTACCGTCAGCTTGGTATTGCTAGTCGAGCAGGGTGTACCATGATGGCTGGCTGTATAACCCTTCTCCAAGCATGGATATATGAGTATTTTCCATGCTTCCAGCCCTCCAAGAGGCGAGGACGTCGAGGTGTTGATGGTTGGCCCAGAGCCCGAGACTGGACACCAGTTAGCTATAAGGGCCCGAAGCCTATTCATAGTCGTCTCCAGCAGATTTGTACGCAGCTCGACGCAATGACTGAGCAAGAGGTACATACACTATAATAAATGTTGGTAACGTTCGCAGGTCGAATGGGAGCCATTTGGTCGCGAACAGGCGGCAGCATATCCGAGGACCATCTTCAGTGGGTGGATTATGTACCGCGACTTCCAGGAGCCATACATGCCGGAGAGAGTGATACGCCAGCTCGGTTACGTGCGGTACATACCTCGTGCACTGCTCACACCGGTAACTCAGTTTCACAGGAAAAATGCGCACAAGTATTTTGTTGATCGTCCGATTGCCGAGACATGTAACTGTTGGGTTAGATTTCCAGAGTCGGAGTGCATCAACCTCAGTCATTGTGTGCCGGTATCGTCCACTGAGGTAGGACAAGCAGCCGTAGATTACCTCGACTGGTACAGGAGCCATTCACATCCATTTCTACTGCCGGAGTCCATACCGTCTACATCACGCATCCCAGGGAAGAACTGCACCACTTACGTAAGTTCAACTCTAACTGAATACCCTTTGTTTAATAACACACGTACTATCTTTAAGGGATTAATATGGTTTTATTTAACATTTGTAGTGGATGCGTAAGATGGAGAAGTTGACTCGAGGTTGCATCGACGATTTGAAGAAACTCGATTTGGGTCTTGGTGAGGAGTGGGATACTCGCCTGGATGATGTCATCTTCCGGCACAATCAGGCCCCATGACATTCTACTCAGTGTTTTTTCCTTTAAACAATTATGTACCGATTCTGTTATTCTGAACAATATGTACTTATGTCGATTTGCAATTTAAATTTTAATCTACGTTAAAATTTCACCAATTTCATAAAAAAATATATATATACACAACATATCACCCGAGATCACAAAATTCTCGTGTGGGTCTTATCCGAGGTACCAAAGTACGCCATAGCTGCAGTCTGGGTTCAAAAGGTTCTTCCCGACCAATAACACTACTATCACGATCATGCAGCCAACTGGGGTGAATGGGGGGAATCGGAAAATCACCCTGCAGATTGAGTCGAATGAAGTGCGGGTAAGGCTCAAGGTGGCAAATAACTATCTGAAACTCTGGCCTTGTTGCCCCGCCCCGTGCGCTCAGTGGTAGCACAGTCCAACATGTGCCGTTTAGATTTTCAGCACCGTTGGTTCTGAAGTAGTGCACAACAGCATTGAAATATGTAGCAAGGGGATAAAAGTCCTCTGTCGACATCCAGTGACCTACGGAGGTACCAGTCCACCGTATACGCTCTAGGCTTGCAGGTAATTTTTCCCACCTACAAAGACAAGTAAATGAAGGTTTTAAATAAAATAACATTGATGCAACTGTATGAAAACCGCTCACCAAAATTAAACTGGCTTCATACCCGTAAAGGTTCCCGTACAGGCCAGGGTTATTTATAACCTCATCATAACATATCTGTCTGCACAAAATTTGATTATCCTGCCCTCCCAACATGCAACTCGCAAAGACGCGGAAACCACAATTACCGTCAGCCTCGACATCAAGATATGACTGAACATGATTGTGGAGTAGCTGAGGAATCTCATTCTTGTGCCTAAACTGGAAAAGTCTGTCTGCATCACATCTTTAACCACGTAAAATAATATCATTATTTTTGAATTACATATCAGTATTTAAGAACAAAATAAATTATAAACGTACCTCCGACATGGGGTTCGGAACCCGACCTATGGCCTCTACTGGAACTGCTAGTGTTCGTCTCACCTTGCCCAGTCCATGTACCTGCTCTCGCATGGGTCAGTAACAAAAGTGCTTCCAGTAAACCAAGTAAAATAATATTTCGCACATTTAAAAAGAGAAAGTAATATCGGACCTCTGCTCTGATCTTCAGCTCCCGATGTATGGCCTCTACTGGAACTGTGAGTGTTCGTCCCACCTTTACCCAAGGTACCTTGGCTCGTACCTGCTTTACTGGAACCGCTGGTATTGGTGCCACCCTGATTGCCGTCCCTGTATGCCCACACATTTGGTTTGTCTTGCTTTTTTTTAGAGATGCCCCTCTTCTTTGGCCTGCCCTTGCCTCTCTTTCCAACCCGCAGTTCATTTAATCCGGCTTGGCCTGGGTGAAGTTTGTTGTACATCAATCTGGTGATCTCGCGCTGTATTGGCTCCTCAGCAACGTCCAATTCTTTCACTAACTGCCTGAACAACAATCTGTGAGGGGAAACATCATCCGAACCATCCTTCTCTGTAACCTCACCGATGTCAAGTGTACTCCAAAATTGGCGTAAGTATTTTGGAGTCAAAATCTCGTTGGCCTCCATTATACGCTTAAGTATAAATGCACAAGGGAGGGAATGAGTTTGTTTCAGGTAATGATTGCATTCCCAATACACATCATCTCCGAGTTGTTGCATCCTTTCCAACTCATTGTTCAATAGATCCAAGCAGTAGTGTGAAACATTGCATCTTAATTGGTAGAAAGGGTACTTGTTGTGTTGCCTCCCTATTTTCTGCCTTGATTCTTGCAATTTCTCCCTGTGGAGGAATTCTAACAAATTAATTAAACAACCTAAATACACAAATTAACTAAAAAGGGGATCAAAATCCAATACCTTATTTGCGTAAGCTGTGTCTCCAGTAACATGTGAACCCTGTGCCACACCGTTTCAAAAGAAGCATTTGGAATGCCGAGCCATTCCTTTAACAACTTGTGTGCGCTCTCCACTCTACAAATAGTGGTGTTGCCAAAATGCAAATAAGTGTTGGTCCATGCATGTACAAACTTGTGCGCCACCACTAACCATGTCTTCCTAACATACTCTAGAACGGGCTGAAATTGAGACCAATTATGCTCCAGAAACTGTACTTCTTCTTCGTATACTTCCCGATTTGCAGCTTCGATCACTGCTTTGAATGCATTATATGCGAAGCTTTTTGCTACATGGGCATTTCCATTCAAAATTCTTTTCACATTTCTTTCAACATCCCTGTAAACATCCCACGTACACAACAAGTGATGTGAGGATGGAAATACATCATCAAGAGGCCTCATCAGTCCAGGCTCCCGATCAGTCACGATGACACTCGGATGCAGATCTTCGCCATACAAGTTACGGAGCTGCCACAGCGCCCAATGGTAGCTGTCTCCCGTCTCATCACTCAGAATAGCATATGCTGTAAGGAATGTCTGATTGCAAGGGGTCATTCCAACAAACTCCACAAGAGGCAGTTTATATTTGTTTGTGTTGTATGTGGAATCTACACAAACAACCCAAGGATACGTCCGCAACAGCAACAAAGAATCCGGATGTGCGAAAAACACGTGGGATAACCTCTGAGTCTCTTCATCGCACTCCGTGAAGATGATGTATTTGTGTTGTTCTGCGACCTCTAACACCTTTCCCACTACGTCCATGGCAGACAGGTCATCTAGAATTGGAAACCCCATCTTACGCAAAAAATTTCTGTAGTTGTAGACTTGTTTGGAGGTTACCTTTTCATCGGGAAATTGTGTCTATATCGCCCGTAAAATGTGGACTGCCTTAGTCCCAGCTTTGGAGTACTCCTTAATAAGCTCTTTTATTTCTTCACTCAATGGCCTCCTGACTCGAGGTGGATCTTTCAATGAATGGTTGTGCATTCCCAACGGACCTGAATATACACGGATCGCCCACCTATCATATATCTTGTAAATAGTAACACGAAACTGGCATCCGGTCATCTGTGTCTTTGTATTGGCTCGGGCGCGCACGTTTTCATCCACCTATTGACCTTGGTACCGCCCTCTTTTATGACAAAGGAATATAGTAGTATTATCCTTGTGCGAGGATACACTTAACTCCATATTGTAGAAGTTCGCAATACCCTTCGCATATGCGGCAGCTTCCTTCTTCGTCGCAAAAAAGTCTCGTCTGTAGCAAAAGTCGGACTATAATCGATTCCATCCCCCTGATCAAACCTATCCTGCACACATTAAAAACAAATTATATCATAACTTAAATTAACTCTAACATTGTTAAACCACAAATAATTTGCTATGAGTAAACATTATTATATAATCCGATATAATGATCTTATACTTTAAAAATAATTAATATATACTAATAACAAATTAAAAATATTATTAATAAAAACTCATTATTTTAAAAAAAATCCTAATCCCTAACAGCTATACCCATTAACTCAGTTAATATAACAGTATACGTAATTAAAAAACATTCTCTAAATATTATAAACCTAATTAGCATAAACCCTAATTTTCTAAACAAATCTTAAACTACCAAAAAAATACTCAAATAAAATAAATACATGAATTAATTAAATTTATTAAACTAATAATAATAATTATTAAACTCATAAATATAAAATATATTAAAAAATAAAAAAAATAAAAAAAAAAATGGGTGGCGCCCAAACCGGGTGGTTGGCGAGCATTTACTCGCCAACCCGGACAAAGGTGGCGCCAGATTGGCGAAGGCTGTCTCGCCTCCCTGTAAAGGGAGTCGAGTTTATTGCGTGGGGGTGGCGCGCTTCTCCTGCGCCAGCCCTTAACGGCTGGCGTGGTCCTCCTTCGCCCCTCCCCCCCCCTTTTCGAAAAAAAAAATTTACCTCCATTTTGTAGGGGCGTCTCGGTTTTTCGCGGGCGTTCAAATGAAAAAGTAAGGGCATTCAACAGTTCGACCCTAACAAATGACCACGTTGCTTCTTTTATTTCCTGACAAATGCTGGAAAACATGGACCAGCCTGCAATAAAACCCCATTACAGTGAAAAAAAATTATTTTGTTCCCTGAAAGAAAAAAAAAAAGGCTGCGGGTCACATTTGTTACCATGATTGAGTACCAGCATTGGAGAAAAAGCAAAAAGTAAATAAATGTAGAGTTAAGATTTTTCACTTGGCAAAAAAGACCCACATTTTCCACCATACTAGTAACACCAGTATTTGCTTTTGGTACTTATAAATAAGTGACAAATACTTCACGATCCCGACGTGGGATTCTTTGTCCCAACAATCATTATTATTATTATTATTATTATTATTATTATTATTATTATGCTCTTCCAACTAGAGACTGCCTCTTTGAGGATGCTTTTGCATGATGGGAAAACCATGCTCAAGATTTGGAACCTCAACAAGGTACGTTGGACTAACAATCCGCTCACCAAATCAAATCGATTCCATTTCCTAAATCGACAATCTGATACCAAATCAAATTGATAAACCAAAGAGGCTAATACAAGTGATTACCAAATCTGCTCGAAATGTGACAATTGATGTTGTATTCTGGGTTCATTTTGGCAGTTTGCCGAAGTACTTGGAGTGTTCAACTGTCAGGGAGGAGGTTGGTGTCGTGAGACAAGGAGAAACAAAAGCGCAAGCCAATTTTCACTCACCATTTCATGTTTGGCTAGTCCGAATGATATAGAGTGGCAAAATGGAAACACCATGCCACAGAATGCAAATGATGAAGGAACTTATGCAGTTTATATGCACCGTCAAAAGAAGTTCAAACTAATGGACTTTACGGACAACTGCGAAATTTCTCTCAAGCCATTAGAATATGAGCTATTGACAATCTCTCCCATAACTTCTTTCGGACAAAAATCAGTTCAATTTGCACCAATCGGACTGGCTAATATGCTGAATTCTGGTGGTGCAGTGGAGAGCGTAACGTGCGATAGTGACAAAGGCAAAGTGACTGTCGGAGTAAAGGGATGTGGTGAAATGAGAATTTTTGCATCAGAGAAACCTCAGTGTTGTATGATTGATGGAGTTTGTGTAGATTTCAGGTATGACTCTCAAATGGTCATAGTTGATGTCCCATGGCCTAATCCTCAAACTTGTCTTTCATTAGGTATGTATTTTGAGAAATCTTCGTTTGGAATTGCTTTTTCATGATAAGCTGTAATATAATGTTGTGTTTACCTGTCCAAGACCAGCTGAATAGGAGTTGTAAGAGCTAATTGTCTCAATGAATCTAAATTGAATGTGTATTCTAATCTTTTTCTTAATTAGCTTTGTATCGACTTCTGTTTCCCAAAAACAAGAGCTCAAACCATAAGTATAAGAAGACTATCAATTCCAAAGTACATCAATAATTTTCATACCGTCTTATCTTTTTTCTCATAGAGTATCATTCCCAAACAATGCACTTCGAGTTAATATAACCGCACATTAGCCAACACATTTCTTAATTTTATTGAGGAGACAGGGGAAAATATGCGACGAGCTATACATATATATAGTATTAGCTAGGAACCAAAAATGCAGGAAGATCGGAGGCGATTGCACAAGATGTCATAGCTTTGGCTTGGGATTTTCCTGGCCTTGTAATTTGGTTTTCTCTGAAACTTTGCACAACGTTGTGACCCTTGATGTGGCTATTAAAAGCTTACTCTCTGAATTTTTGGGATCAACTTTGTAGAAATTTACTTCCCAGACCTGTGACGGAAATACCATTAGAAAAAATTAGCCATCCTCTGGCAAGCACAAAAAGTCCTTTTAACTCCACAAACTAATTGAAATTGAGTTTTATCTTCGTATATAAACTTTTAGTTTCAACAAATTGTCCATCTAACTTTTCAAATGTGTAGTTTGTACCTAGCTCTGTTTTTTGTTTCATCCAAAAGAACAAATGGAAACCAATTAGCTGTAAACTATTCTACAGGGCTAATGGTTCATTTGTTGTATCGACTCTTTTTAATAGGTGGTCTCAAAAACAGAGCAACTTTTGAGTAACACAACAGACCATTTGTCCAAAATAAGAATCCCATTCAAACTAGTAGTAAAATTTAGAAAACTGAAAAATCCAATCAAATCACGATAAATTTGACATTTTTTTTCCCACCCGGAAGAAAGTCAACTGTAAGTAATTTAAGTGGTGAAAACGGTAATACCTGAATGGTTCTTCCGGCATTGACCGGAGTAGCCTCAGCAAGCACAAGATCACCGACTTGGGCACTCTTGAGATGGTTTATGTTAAGTTGGATTCCGGCAGAGCCTCGCTTGCCGGAAGCTAAGTAGGCACCGTAACTACCAATCTCTTCCGCAATCATTGCCGACAAACCACCGTGCAACGCCCCAAACGGCTGTAGTCGGAGAAACACGAAAATTTTTAATTGAACGATTCCGACCACCATCAGAGTCCATAATTTCGCAATTGATTGGTTAATTAAGTAAGCATTTGGTTACCTGGCAACACTCGGGAGTAATTTGAAGGCTGCCAGTGATTAATTCCGGCGATAGCTGGTCGATCTCGAACCCGAATGTTTTAAGAGCTTGAGTTGGGAATTCCATCTTCGTGATAACTGAAAGTTGACTCCGGTGAACAGCGGAGGAGATGGCGAATATTTCGGTTTCTTTCTCCCAAAAAAAAAAAAAAATTAGTGTTATATATAAGTCATCGGTTGGAGGGCCGCCATTGCTTAACGCACTTACTCGAAAATGTTTTAATTTGACATCTTTTCAAACCATGGACCCATTTTTCCAGGTGTATTATTATTACTAAAGAAAATTAGAAAATTGGGGAGTGGATTTTTTTTTTTGAGTCAATTTAAATTTAAACTCAGTTATATACTATTTGTAATGAAAATCCTTCATATATGAAAATGTTAAGCACTGTCCGTGTGATCTTTTTGGAGTTCCCTTTATCGAAAATATCACTGAAAGCACGTATTTACTAGGTACTGTCCTAATTCTTGGAAAGGGGAAAAAAAAAATTAAAAAACAAACAAAGAAAGAATTAGTAGTACTTATTGAGCGCTTGAGAGGCCAAAATTGATAAAACCTCGACTTAGAGTAGTGTGATTCAGCTCAAATAGCTCACGAAATAATTGAATATAAGTTTTACTCCCTTTCTTCCCAAATATTTTGTAAATAATAAACTAAATATAAAAATTTTAACTAGATAATATTTGAGTTAAATAAACTAGGTAATAATTTTAGGAGATAGAGTAATTAATTAATACGACTATATTTTTGGTGAAAGAATTATGATATTCTACGCAGCCACGGCTGACTAAATTAACAATCAATCTTGGAGGCCAAAATCAAACAAATGCCATGAACAGGAACTTGAACTCGGTATAAGGGACATTTTACTATATATTAAGGGAATTTTTCTTACAAGACACATGTCAGTCAATTAGATCATTGATAATATTCAGTTACACTTGTCATCTTCTCATTCGTAGGGAATTTTATGGAGTCCATGTGTCAACATTTCATTGGCTTATTTTTTACTGACATGTTTACTGAACCTCAAAACTATAATTTTGCACAGTAAAATAGTTATGAATATGTAAAAATTAAAGATTTTTAACATATCATCAATTTTTTCTATGCGCCGATTGATTGATATTGAACTCATCCCAAAAACCGTTGAAATACCTCCAGGGAATGGAGGTCATGGCAGAAAACATCACCCAAACTTAATGTAATCATCAGTTTTGTGCCGTTGAAATCATCGGCTGATTATACTTCCTTCGCAGGAAGCATTTGAATATCGATTCCCAACTCATGACGGACAAAGTCACCGGTAATAAGAAACTCCATATCAAATGAATCCTTCATCGGCTTATCATATTATCTTTTGCCGGCTGATAATATTCCGCCCCTTCCTTCAACGTTTGGTGGTATTCTCCTTCACCAACGGCTGGCGGTATTCTCTTTCACCGACCGACTCTATCTTGCCAAACTCTGGGTGTAATTCGATGAAACCAAGATGATTTTGCCGGAGGCATTTTTTAATGGTGATATGTGATGATGATATTGTTGTTCCTATTGCAACTCCAACTCCTGGTGGTGATGATCATCTTCCATCATTCAGATCGAGAATCCTATCAGGACAAAAATGAGCAGATTTCAAGGGATACAATTTTGGTGGAGCATATCTTTGATCAATTATACAAATTTCAAGTCATTGTAAAAAAATCTCAAATTTTTGTAATTTCATACTAGGACATTAAATTGAGACACTTTCCTTAACTATTTTTGAAAATTGAATGTGATGCTAATCACATTGACGGGTATGTGCTGGTGGGTGTAAGTTTTAAATTTAGAAATATATAATCCATGTACATGATATTTACGGCCCTTCCTTAGAGAAATACATTGATTGACTGACGTTAAAATAGTGTAACTTTCAACCGCCACCCTTGATGTTAACCATCTTTATTTTTTTTTAAATAGTGTAGCTTTCGACCGCCACCCTTGATGTTGACCATCTTTATTTTTTTACTTCGTTTTGGGCCTGTAGGCATAAACTTTCTCTTAGAAAAAAAAAAGAATAAAAGATGACGTTAACTTAATTATTGCAAGAGTTCTTTTTTTAAAAAAAAAAAATTTATTGCAAGAGTTAAAAGTAATTTTCACTAATGACTATACCTTTTTTATGTTGATAAATGAAGTTATATTGTGATAAAAAAAATTTTTTGAATTCTTCCCTTATTTTATCTTATCATATCAAGTTTAAATAATTTTGGCAATTATTTCAGGATAGAAATTCCATGAGTTTGTTGATTATTTAGAAAATATGATTGCTTTGAATTTGGACATCTTTTCACATGTTTAACATTCTATGATATGTGGGTTTTATTTATAAATTTTATTATACCCAAATTTCACGTGGTTAATTTATAGGGTTTTGAAGAAAGAATAGGACGTTCAAATCTCATAATCTCTCTCATCAGTTATCTAATTTCTATGTATATCTCCACAATTCAAGTTCAAGGATTTTCATTAAAAAATAAAAAAAAGGACATCGAAGGAGATATGCTAATTGCAAAACCCAAATAAGAAGACATAAATCAGCAAAACCTATAAATTCCAACCAATAGCAGCAGCCTCCGAAAAGAAAATCACAGCAGAGAACAACAATGAACGGTCGAGAAAGTAAGTTTAGAGAGCGGTTACAGTTAATGAAGAGACTATGTGCAGCCTTGAATAAAATGAACAATTAATTCAACTTTGTCCCACGATGAAAATGTGTTAGATTTTTCATTCTATTTGCTTTGCGGCTTTGGCGTTATAGATTATCTCCTTTTTTTTTTTGTTACTAAGCAAGGTTTTTTTATATTATTAAAAAGTTGTTATGAGAAGAGGACTTGGATGAATGCGTGTCTTATTGATTAACAGTTTATATAATACTTAACTTAATTGTATGTTACCATTTTCAATTGATTGATTCTTGAAATAAAAAAAAAAAAGTATGGGACAAATTACTCTAAAATAAGATAATTAAATCAAAATTAGTCATCAATCTCTATTTAAAAAACCAAAAACTTATACTTATATATATATATATATATATATATATATATATATATACACATGATAAAAAAAATTCCATAGTCCAACCGGGATACAAAGTGAAATAAATCAGAGACTACATTCAATTATTAGCCAAACCAAAATAGTACATTTTTTAATTATTAACCTAATATATAATATATTATATCACCGCACAACGTGCGGGAATAATACTAGTTATTATCTAAAAAAGAATATTGGGCCAGTTATACAGAGTTAGTATCATGAAATAAAAGGTTGAAAATAGAATTAGTTAATAATATAGGGTCTGGGGTTGCAATTATGTTATAAGTAGTAACTGCAGTCGGCTTAAAGGCAGACTTGCCGGATTGTGACGAGTTATAGAAGAAAATGTATGAAATTACTTCCCCTTTCTTTCTTTCTAATCCTAATTCCTATCTGTATACGGAATCCCTAAATTCCGTTCCTGACAAATTGGTATTCAGAGCCTCCGATTCTCGGGCGGAAATGGCGATGACCACGTACTCTCTGGCGGCTAGGGATGCGAAACTTCTCCGGCAGGGGCAGGAACTGTCGGCGGTTATGTTTCCTAGTTGCGCTCTGTGGTTGATGATCACACGGTACAATTGAACGAAATTAAGAACACTATGAAGTTCTGAACTCAGAATTTGCAAAATTGACAGATATGGTGGACGTTGTAGCCAAAGAGAAGACTTCGATTCATTTCCAAGATCTCCCATCGGAGAAATCTTCGTTTCTTGCCATTCCGATAGAAATTCCGAAATTCCGGGTACAAAAGCTGACGCAGACAAAGGAATTCAACCATCGTTGCCATCTGTCTTTTATGGCGACTATCCTAAGGAGTGGCTGAGTAGATGCGACGTTTTCTTTCCCTCTTTTCGGATTACAGAAGCGGGGAAGGTAGATGCGGTGAAGTGGTTCTTGCAGGGTCGAGCAGGAATTTGGTTCAAGGAGTTGAAATTGATCAGACCTGATATTTCGTGGACAGAGTTTGGGGAAGAGCTTATCCTTCGTTTTGCTGCGGAAGGAGGACAAGATGACTCAGTGGAAACTTGTAAATCCATGGATTTCTCGCCGGAAGTAGGTAACTCTCTCATATCCCAAAATTCAGAAGAACTTTCTGTTTTTGATGATGATATGGTGTCAAATGACGCTTATGGTGATAAGTTGGAAATCCTGGATGAATTAATTTTTCATTCTAATAAAGATGCTTTATCAAAGGATTCGGATGATGGTTCTGTGTTCTTGAATTGTGTTGAATGTGATGATGATCTTGCAGTTCCATTTGATAGTAATGGTGATTTTATGAATGTTGATGATTCTACGCTTGTTTATGAACTGGAGTACTTTGGTGCTGTTGAGGATGATAATTTTGAAAAATTGGATGACAAATTTTTGGCGAAGAATGATGTCGCTACTGATTCTGTGAAACTGTATGCTACTGATGAAGACAGCCTGCTTAAAAACTTGAATAAGATATGTGTGATCTTCAGTGATAGATGACACGGGGAGCTTAAAAAAAGATGGTCCAATGAATTTGGAATTTCTGGTTAAGGAACTTTTAACTGTTGTGATTTAACTTGGAAATGGAAGCGATGTTCAGTGTAATGCTTCTATGGGATTTGTCTCCACTGTAAGTGTTGAGCCAAATGTTCGGCTGTATGATCCTGGAATTAGCACAACTTATTTAGCTGTAGTGATGAAGGGTGCCAGGGGAGATAGTTTTATGGAGAGAGAAATCTCCTTTCACATCTGGTTAGTTCATGATGGTGAAGAAGTTGAAATCAGAACCTTTTGG